TCTATCCGGGCAGTGAATCTCAGAGAATGAAAATTAACTCTACAGCGCAGCTTCTGAATCTCGAATGGTAAATCATTATTAGCAAGTCGAGCATCAGTTCTATTCAGACGTACGACTTTATGCCTTTTAAGAAGGGGAAGAATCTGTCAATGAACATCATGAGACAAATTTTTGTACAACATCCTTGAAGCAAAAGAAAATATTTTTGCTTGAATCTCAAAAACAGTAAATAACCTGTTGATGGTAATAAGATATATTTGACCAACTGATAGGAGGTAACTCATAAAACATTCCAAGTTCAACCTTTCGTTTAAGTCTCGGTGGAAGCTCTTTCAATATCCGGACCTCATCCCTCAAAGATGAAATGAAATGATGGACATCAAATATGTCCTGGAAATTGCTGCCATTTGGAAATAGATTCTTAACAAATACGATTAATAGCAATTCAAAATCCAGGGCGATCGTGTGAAGGGTATTTCAATATTACCTCGGATCAGCCCAAAAAGAAGTTTTATCCAACTCGGGGACAATAAGAGTAACGTTAAGATGTCTGGCAATAGCAACCATGTCACATATCTTCACAGCAAAAAGGAAAGGCGAACGAGGCATTAGCAGGAACAAACACATAACTTATTACAAGAAAAAAATTCAATTTTCGAAAACAATTTTATCAATCGTCACAAAGTGAAGGCAACTCACAGCTGCTCGCATTTGATTGAGTCCACCATTGCAAGAAACAAGAAGATAACCATTGTTCTTATAGACCCCTGCAAGCAAGGGAAACCAGGTTCAAGAATGACTCCAAAATCGAAACATATTATATCAAAGCTCGACCATCAGAACATCTCATTCGCATTTCTTATAGAGAACCAAAATACAGGGGATCAACTTTGAAGCAAACAACACATTGCACAGAGATCAGCAACAAATTATCCAATTATCGGTATCAGATAACACAAAGAGCAAATTGAAATTCAAGCATAAGATTCTATGTCATGTACAATAACCTAAATAACGAGTCACAGAACAGTGGAAAGTGAAAAGGCCAATGGCTCACTCTTTGGAGGAAGCTGCACTTTTCGACGCAGAAAAGATACATTAGCCTGTGTGTGTGCATCAGGAGGATTGGAACAAGAAGGCCAACTCTTCAACAAGTTGGGTCCCCAGACCTCTCCTAATGCCACCAATTGAATAATGCAAGTCCATAGCAATAAAGTAGTGATTGCCCTCAAAATCCATAGCTTCAATTTAGCATGAGACGCTGTAAAAAACTTGGTATTTCCTACTCTCACTTCACCCAAAAACTTCATCCTCGTAACCCAATTCCCCTCCTTCACTTCAATCTTTTCATTGCTATCTTCAAGTTTACACATTAAAAAAATTCACTTTCAAACAGATGAAATTGAATTTCAAGGCCCTTTAAGTTACTGATGCTCCTAGTGCCAGTTCTTGGCACTAAAGGACAGTGAAAATAGGGACGAACCAAAATGAAAGCGAGACTATGAATCGGTGATGTTAAGAATAATATATAGCAGAAAAAGGTGAACTCTAAAGACAGAAGTTGATGCTATCTTTACGCCAAAAATGACGAATCTAAGACGTTAATTATCATTTAATACATGACCTCGAAAATCCAAAAAAAAAAACGAAAAGAAAAGAAAAGGAAAATCTGATGACTTTGTTGATTATGAGTTATGACTACAAATAAGCTTCCTGACTATTGGAATTCTTAAAACTTTTTCCTGAGTCACATTCATGCACAAAGACAAACTTCTAAGTTCCATCAAAAGTAAAAACAGATCGTCTTTCTCTCGTGTTCGAAGTGGTGAAAATCTTGAATTGGCAAACCACGTTTTCTATTTTTGTATTTTTTTTTT